TGTAACGAACTGGTGAGTATCTTTTAACGACACTGTAAATCCAACCTAATCCAAATGCTATTTAATATCTCACCTGAATGCAATGAGGATATTCCGTTTTCTTATATGTTTGCCTCAGAAATTAGTTCTAAAATTAGCGTATTTCCATTCCTACATATAATTCTGTTTCATATGTGCTTTGTAATCATCACAGAATAAAAAAGTAAGATAGCATTGCCAACTGTATTTAATATTTTTGCATTTTAAATATATTATTTGCAGGTCACAAGGCTTACACTGTGATCAACCAATCCTGTTTTACTTGTCTTCTCAGTTCACCATGAAGAATTAATAGATTCATAAGCTAGAAATGACAATTAGTTCTTATTCAGACTGCCCATTTTCTCTTAGATTTTGTTAATTTAAGTGGACTTCTTTTGCTCAGTCTGAGGGTGATTTAGACTACTGTTTCTAGAGAACTATATAATTCCCAAAGATGCCTAGAAAAAATGAGTGTGTTTGTTTTGATGGCAGAGTTACTGAGACAGCCAAAGTGTCCTGAGCATCTTAGAAATCTGAAGACTTAGGTAAGCTGAGATAGAAAGAAAAGCAGAAAGATAACTAATCTCTGACCAAGTAATTTTCCAGGAAGGAGACCCAGGAACTGAACTTCTTTTTAGGCTGCCTGGATCTGAATATCACAAACACTTCACTTTTCTTGAGATCCAAAATCTTCAATTGGACTTTTACCTTTCATGATAAAAAATAGTTTCAGGTGGGGCTAATTCCACACTTACATGCAGTTTGGCCGTCGTGCAAGGAAGGCAAGGAATATGCATTCCTGACCACCACATATCATTATTTACATTCTTAGTGGCTTGTTGAATGCTCAACTTTAAGCAAATACAAAGGTACATTGCTAAAATATGCATTGATATTCGGTTGCACAAAAAAATTGTTTAGAAGCCATTTGAACTTTTATGCAAAGAATTTTCCCATTTGGCTCCTAATTTTGAAATAACGAGGAATTTATTGTTATCTCCAGTGGACAAAGAATAAACATGCAAATACATAAATTAATTTTGGTTCTTTCTGGAGCTGCTCAAGATATTCTACTACAGTGATATTCATAGAATATAGTCAACTAAATGAGAAAAAATACCGGTTTCCTTGAAAGGTTCTTGAAATCAGTTAAAAATATTCTATTAACTTCTTTATGTTTTGATTTAGTTCTAGTGAATCCTTTCAAAGGATTTTTAACAATCAATAACATGGTAGATTCCTCAGGTATTTCATATAGATCAGCCCAGAAAACACATAGTGTATAGAGGGAAATGTAAAGTCTGGGGAAGGAAGATGGTGAACTAAGTATACTGTAAGGTATGTCATTCTCATGTGCAACATTCATTATTTTTTTTTGTTTTATTTTATTTTATTTTATTTGTAAGGTATATTCTTCACAGAGGGAATCTGTGTCATTCCAGGAACATGAATTTTACTGCTAACATTTCTCTTAGCACAATACCTTCATATCCCTGACCTCACCAAATATAGATTATAATTTTATTATTTCCAGGGTTTATTTGTCTGTCAAGATCAGCCCTTAAACCACAGAAAAAATCAGAAGGAAGTTCACTAGAAGTACTTACCTTTAAGCACAGAAAATAACCAGGCAGCGAAACTCCTTGAATATTCTGTTATAACTGAGTGGAATCCAACCTATTTTAATTCTTGGATTAACTCATATTAAACAACATTTTTTTTGTTCAAGCAAAGCAAATGGCTTCATGACACTAGGTTATTCAACTGTATGAAGACTGGAAAAAACTTGTAGCGTCTGCATCACAGCTGGAAGCATGGGGGGAAAACTTTCTTTTGTGTTAGAATTGCAAGTGAGGAGAGTAGGTAACCATGTCTCATCACTATATACCAACTGCAGGTATTTTGGAAATGCTGTGGTAGATGAGTTTCCATGCATGTTTTTTTTCAGTCTCCTGAGAGTTCTTCCATTTGTGAAGCAGATTCCTCTTTGTCTTCTTCCAGCCATGTAACTAAGCTTAAATGCAAAAGGTTTCAAGATGCCAAAATTGCTGTTTTTTCTGCAGCTGACGGTGAAACATATCACTGTCACTCTTTTCTCTGTCCACTGCCAGATAATTTATCCTCCTCCATCCTCCTGTTGAACAGAACTGATCCAAATCATCCCTTTGAGATGTTTCTGCATTAATTTAACAATCACATAAGACTCAGGTGAGTCAATATAATTTCCTTTTGAAAGAACAGTCTGAGGCAAGGGAAGAATACTGATTAAGTAATTTAAAAAAGATATCATTGAAAAAACATGGAATAAAATCCCATAGTATTGACAAGACCAACCAAAACAGTCAAAGAATTTTAAGAGCTCTGGAAAATGTGCTAGCTTTTTATTTTTAAAGATTGTCTACACTGTAAAAACTTGGAGAAAAAGGACATAAATTACTTAATCTGAGAGTCATTTACTGGTCCTGCACTCTTTCGGATGTTCCAGATGAGACAAATATTCTTGCCAGGATTTGTGGGAGAAGATTTATCTTTAAGTTATGATTCAGAGGACTTCACTGCCTATCTTCCTCCATTGCAATACTGACTGTTATTACCAGCCTCATGGAAATACTTTTTACAGTACTTTTTCCCCCTTTCAACTGCCTTTCTGTCATACTTCTATCACATTTTTATTGCCCCCATCTGTCCAAGTTACGCCAGCAGCAACTACAGTAGTTCTTCCAGTAAAAAAACACATATATTTCTAGCACATGGATTTAAAGTGTTTTCTTGCTGTCATTGCTCTAAATCAACTAATTTCATCAGGGTCACTGAATTTCACAGTTTCTTAGAATAGGGCTTTAAGACAGCTGAGAGGGGAATAGTATTGTGAGGGGGGTTTCTTCCTGCTTTATTGTATTCTTTCTGTCATCTAATGCTGCTGCCATCTTCAGAAGAAAAGTATAACAAAAGCCCACACAACATGGGCAGCTAAAATTCAAAAGGACCACTGCACCTTAAAAATTCTTTTCATAAACTGTATAAGGATGGAATCTTCTTAGAAATATAGCTCTTATTATAGAAACACCAAACACAAAGGATATGAACAGGACAAGGTTAGCAACAACTCATAGGCATAATCCTAACACCAGTAAACAGAACCAAACCACATTTAAATAAGACTGGCTGAAATGACACAGTGCAATCTAACACCTGCCATGAATCTTGCCCAATCATTTATGAATAAAAAAGAATTTCCAAAATTCTCCAAAAGAAAGAACTTTAATGGACAATTTAACATACTAACAGACACCCTAACACATCTTCAGTTTTCCAGATACTGAAATGCCAGTTCTTTTTCTATGGCTTGAAATAATCTATATAATATTAAGTTGCACCTCATTCATGCTGCTTCTGACATACTTCTGAACAGAAAGGTATTCACAGTGGCATTTATATTTTGAAGGAAGAAAGAAAATACTGGAGTCAGAAGACTTTTCACTGCTGGAGAGTGACCGTAGCACTCTGCACCCTACTGACATAGTGGTTTATAGTGAAGTTGAATCTATCCAACTGTGTGAGAGAAAATTAAGATACGGAACACACATACGGAGATTTAAACACTGTAATCAGGATTTTATTTGAACACCTCTCCTGGAGGTTTCAGATAGGTTAAACCACAGCTGCAGGAAATAGTAACATCTTTTGAGTGAAATGAGTCTAGAAGACTGTTGGATTCAAATCACAAAAGATCATTCTACAAGCAAAGAATAATTCCTTAAGATTGTTACAATATAAAAGAATAACAAGTTTTGAGATTTAACAGTGAATATTCCAAAATCTAACCAAATATAGAACCAGCTAATCTCCACCCTTGTTATACTTAATTTTAATTATATGTTATCTGTTTTTTATATGAATAATAAATAGGAGAATTAAATGACTGGACAAACAGTTGTATCACAATTTCTTGAAGAATTCATGTAAGAAAATACTTTTGAATACTCCATATGCATTATTAATCCTTCCCTGATGCCCAGCAATTTTTCAGGAAGAATCAATTTTTTTCCTGAAAAACTGCATCCCTTCTCAGAAGTGCAGGAGCAAGAGCATTACCATTAACAACTCTTCTTTTGTTACTCCATCAGTCTGAAGAGACAAATAGAATGGTGCTAAGCAAGTACCTTGTCAGAACCCAGAAACTTCATTAGAATCCCACCTGTGCTGGGACTCCTTGGTCCTTGCAAGCTGTGCTAATGCAATGCTGTGATCCAGTGTTCTCAGTATTTCAAACATTTCTAGGAGGTTCCTGCAAACCTGAGCATACCAAATCAAATTTGCACCTGTGCTAAACTGTGTAAACATGTTTTTAATTGGAGAAGGCCTATCCATACACTCCCATACCTTCAGTTCACTTGAGAGTATGGATCTAGATTTACTAGCCGGTAGAAAGTGATAATTTGCTGTTTAATTTTGAGAATTTAAGACTATCACAAACTTTCCTTTGGCTTTCATGTTGAGTGTTCAAACTCTTCCAGTGTTAACAAGGACAATCTCAATTCACAATTAACAATATAACAGAAAAATAGTTCTTCTTTCAAAAGAGAACAATTAGGTAAAACATAACGTATTTACCTTACATGAGAGGAAAATAAGCTTTCTGGAAGAAAATGTTCAAGGTGGACTAAATAAACTCCAGAGAATTTTCCAGCAGTAAAATTTATTCATTTTCAGTTTGTACTAATCAAGGTCAACTTGCTACTTCCAATTTTTAAGCTGTCATAACATGCTCACTGACTGCTATTACATAGTCATTGACAAAAAAAATTGATATGATGATGAAGCTTTCAGAAGCCTTCAGTGTATTAAAATGTACTCAGATCCTTAGTCATGGAGGGCATCAACCTAATGCAGTTATTAAACAGACAAATAACCTAAACATTTGTTATACTTATTTTACCGATGAAATGGCTCCAGGATTTAAATTATTCATTACTTACCCCGGTTCTTTGAACTTCCAAGAAAATTGCTCTTTGAAATGATTTCTCCCACACTGCCAATTCACTGCCCAGTTCTACATTGAAATAATGACTCTTGCCATGTCCAGCCATAACACTGAAACAATACAGCCTCTGGTCTTCAAGATCAAAGTCCTGATGAATACCTAAATACATGTTTGCTTGTAGCCAGCAATCATCAGCAAGCCAGAGCTGAAAGACATGTTGCAGTATGTGATTGTCTTCTGTAAGTGATGGGTATGTTATGGCATAATGGCATTAATTACCTTGAAGAAATGGTCTAAGAATTAAGTAATAATGTCAAAGACTTTTCTCTTTGCTTCTTATTCACTCTACCCTGTATCACATAATCCAAGCTACTTCTGCAGTTTCAAAAATACTGTCAAAAATTACCTAAGCAATACATACAGAATTTAAAATGAGTTTATACCAACATATTGTTTACAATGAAAAGGAAGGAAATCCCTGAACTCTTTGAATACAATTGGAGAGCTGTGTGCCAGCTCTACAGGAGACCATAATTCAGCCATTCTAATTGGGTTCCAATATGCTAAACCCCAAGGAATAAATGCAGTAATTTATCAAGTACCAAGGACTAACTAATTCTGGAAATGACAACATAAGCATGTCCCGTGATAGCCTCAATGCTGTTCTGTGACTACAAGGAGAACGAAGCGAAATCCTGCCATCACCTTCAAGATAATGAAGAGAAACTTCACATTAAACTTTCATAATAAAAATATCTCTGTAATAGAATGTTTTGTAAATGAAAACAAATTCATATAAGAAACTTCCCTAATATTTCAAGACTTCATTGATTAGCATAAATATAGAGAAAAACAAAACTAAATAAAAAAGCTATTACTTACACATCTAGCTATTTTCACAGTCTAAATTTTGAAATTACACATATTTTGAAATTTCTGTTTATCAGATAGGGCCCTTTCCTATTTCCTTTTCTTTATGATATCATGGGGCAGAAAGAACAAAATAATTAGCAATGAAAATTATATTATTTTCCAAAGTCACTCACAAACAGAATTGTTTTTCTCTAACACTACAGTTTAGGTTTGGAAGACTTGACTCTAGTGAAGCAGATCTGAGGTAGAAGCAGTCATGTTTGAACTGGATCTAGGTGTCTTTGAAAAGACTAGCATGCGGCTTTGTGCTGTACCCAAGTCCTAGAATCTTGTAGTCAGGATAAGCTGAATAAAGGTTTACAATTTAGTTTTCTATCCTCTACTAGCCTATCATTGCCTGTTGAGGTTAGTTGAAACTCTATGCACATGAAAATGAACAACTAAAATTTTAGCATCAAAGTGTAATTTAAAATATTCTGATACAGGTAAAATTAATGTTCAGGGGCTTGTGTCCCTCCTGTTCTATATGCACACTCAAGTATACTCATAGGGCAGCAGTGAAGATCCACTGTTTAGTAACAAAAAGCAGAGGAAAGAAATGCTCTGCTACCACACCCTCCTCTGTGTACTGCTCTCATATTCATAAACAGAATCAAAATACTCAGACTGGAACTGAAAATTTTGCTTGTGCTGGTGAATTACTGACTAACATAAAGCTGGCACATGCAATCTCATGTAATTTACTCAATTCTAGCCTGAGGAGCTATGGGTGTTTCATGGGGCACCTTGTATACAGCACTTTGTTGACAAAATTGGCCCTGCAGCTACCTGAGAGAAGAGAATTGAGGAAACTCAGAGCTCTTTCACAACACTCCTTTGGACTGTGGAAAAGGAAGTTGAACAAAATACTGCATATGTTCTGGTGTTCAGTTGCTATGGAGTGACAGGTATTACATCTGCTTCACAGCTTGCTGCAGCATATACTGCATATAGTTGGTAGACTATTATATTAATATTTTGTAATTTTTATCTGAAAATACCAGGCAATAAAAGAAAATAAAATGTTTTTAAGACAGCTGGCTTTTAAAAATATGTCTAATATTCTTGCCCTAGAAACAAGTTCCAATAAAGATGAATTATGAGGCAAGATATAGGAATAAACATCTGTGATAAAAGATTTTACATTTTCAATTATCTGTTTTTTATCACCAAATGTCCACGAATATGCAAGGCATGTTATATATATGTGAGTTTTAATTCACATATTTGCATATGCATGTTTGTCTATGCAAACAGGTGTATTTATACAAATGTATACACACATACAAATCTAATATATATCGAACATTTTGTTTCAAAATATAAATTCCATATGGGGTTCTAATTTTCCATGCTTAACTTTGTGACATAATAAACATAGATGAGAAGCTTACAGTTAGATATGTAATAAGAGCACCTCTCCTTCAAATCTATCTTTCATAAGAAGAAACAATAGCATACTCTACCACAGTTCTGTGCTAATTCTAACCAGCTTCTGAAAATCCTTAAGACCCTCCCCAAACAGGAGTTTTTACAACATAACTCTATCTTTCATAGGCAATGCAGAAATCTTAATCCTTTAAGATTTTTTCCTATCTTTTTGGATTTGCTCAGTTTGTCTCACTGCCATTTATACCAAAGAATCAACATAAAAGAGGTTAAAGAGTTGAACTTGGGCTTTTGCACTTTAGCTAACATATTCATGAAGACTGGCAATTAAGCATTCATTTATTAAAATGTCAAGAACATTAAAGATTTGAATTTTTGATAGTTTATTTGCCCACTTCTTTTTCTTAATGAAAAAGTATCACAGAAGTTGCTTTAAGGACAGAATATCCTTGAAATTACCATAATATTCAAGAAAGGACTGAGTTTAAGCAGTAATATTTAAAGGAGAAAAAAACAAAACCAAAACTCAAGCCACAGCAAAATCTTTTCAAAAGGCATACCGAGTATACATTTCATTGGTACCTGACATATTTATCAGCAAATAGTAAAATTTAAAAAATATTAAGCCTTTTGTTGATGTCTCAGTGATGGGCAGGACCTGCAGTTGCCCACATAAACTCAGTTGTATGGCTGTGCTCCTGTGTCTTGCACTGTGGAGCTGAGGTCTAGTCCTGAACTCCAGGCCTGTTGTTTTTCCTGTTATGGCACTGACCAAAACCCTTCCTTCCTATGTCCTGAGTAACTGAATAACAAAATAAAAAAACAACACAAAGCAAAACAAGCCAACCAACTAACCAAAAAAACCCACAACATCAAAACAAGATCCAAAAACAACCACAAAACCCAAAACAAAACAAAAACCCCTCACCAAAACCATATGCACTTCTCCTTCAGTGCAGGATCTGGATAGGTAAAAGGGCAACAAGCTGCCTTTTCCACAGCATGAGTACATGGTCAAAAGAGAAAGGACAGCAGCCACTGAGAAGTAAAGCTGAGCTGTAATTTTTGAGTGAAACAGTATTTTATCTGAAAAGATGAATTTTTATTTTTTTCCCTGAAAATATATTTGACTTTACTCTCCTAGACAAATAGGCTCTCATCTAGCATTATCTCACCTCCAAAGCAGTTTTTAATTAGGTGGTAGAAAACAAAATTAATCTATCTGATGCAATTTATCAGAAAATATATTCTGCAACTCAATTATTTGATTTTTTTACCCCAACTTCTTGCTTGGGACAAACTAGACAGAAGACATGATTCTATCAAGTTGGGGGAAGAAAATGAATTCTATGGAATACAAATCCAACATGTTGCCCTTTGTAAGGTAAAACCTACTGTACTATTACTTACTGTAATACTTGCAAATTACAAACGATATAACGAGGACATAATTTTGTATTTTTAATTACTGAAATTAAATAAAGATATTTTTATATAGAACAAAAAATACAGCAAGAGTATTTTCCACCATGTTTGCCCAAAAATCTGAGTCACTAAGAAAAAATAGGCTTATGCTTGTTATGCCTAGCTGTGTGTCTCACTGATACTTCATACAACCAACTCTAATACTGAAAACTTTCTTCAATATGAAAGCATTTGAGTAACTTGCTCACCTGGAGCTTAATCCATTTTCCATATGCTCTTCTACTTGCACAGCTAATGTACTAGAGATTACAAACAGTTTTTATAAAAACAGATGAACTATTTGAATGTTAGTTACTCCTAGTTAAGATTACCTTGAGCTTATCATCAACACGAAAAAACAAGCTTTCTTTACTAAATAATACCACTGTAATCATTAGAAAACCTACCTTGTGAATTTTAAATAGAACCTCACAGAGGTTATAGATTTTTTCAGCTCGTACCCAGTCTAGTGTGCTTACCTATAACATCAAAAGAAAATATTGTCAACACATTATTTATTCAAAAATCTTGTAGAGATGAAAAAAACTAAAAAGATTTCACCCATCATTATTCTACTGGATGCTTAAATACAGGCACATTGCTACACTTAATATCCAGCATTATAAAATACTGTCAAATACTATTCAATTTTTACAGAAACAGTAGTCTTAGTGTAATTAAAAGATACTAAAAAATTTAATTGAATTTTTTACCAGTATTATGGAAAGCTCTTTTCAATCTCTGTGGTAAGTTACATGAGTATATTTATTTTTCAAGATGCTAACACAGAGAATTCAGAGTTTCAAACACAAAGTCATTCAGCGTCATGTCTCAATCTTAAAAAAATCTTGCAACAAAGAGAACAAGATGTATTCCTAAATTCAGGTCTGAGTTTACATGCATTAGAGAGGCAAAAACTCAGTATTTATTCTAAATAGGACTATGTAACTGAAATATTTGAAATTAAGAACCATGTCAACCATGTGTTTAATAATAAAAAACACCTATTTTTTCTTTTCTTTTGATTTTATTACTTAATCCTGTTGACATGACAGGTTGTTAAAACTTGACAGTAAGAATGACATTTAAAGTTTTTACCAAAATTCTACTTTGTGATACAATGTGATAATCTGTTTTCTTTTGAAAACAGTACCTAGCCTATTTAGTTCAAGAAAGCAAAAAAGAACTTATACACAGGAAAAATTCAAGGGGAATACACATTATTTTTGCTTATATATTTTAGAGCAAAATTCTAGCTCTTGGGGAATGCTAATGCAGGAATGGCTGCAGAGATATGTGAAGAATTTGACTAAGTTGTAACTCTTAGGTCTTTAGCACATGGAAATTACTGTCTTGATAACTCTAATAGCAACTAGGATATTTTAAAATTCTAGAGCTGATAGAGCTTTGTCCTGTTCCTGCCTTCCACCCAAAAGGAAAAAAGTGAAAAAATCAAATTAAAACTATTTAGGTAAAGCAAAATTTTGTTGTAAAACATCTGGCTTATGTGGATGAAACTTAACTAGGAAAAACCTATGAAATTCAATAACAGATTCTTTTTCTCTGTGTTCAGAATAGCACATAGTTCACCCATAAAACCCAATATTGTTCCTGATGATTTGCATGGAGATCAGCATGTTTTGGTTTTTTAAAATTTATTTTAAAGTTTAATTTTCAGGTTTTTTTCAAATCTAAACCATTAAACCGAATTGTAACAAAATGACAAGAATCTAAACCACAACTTAATCTGCTGTTTATGAATTTGGCTTTAGTGACACAGGCTATAACCTAAAAACTCTTGAGACATGAATGTACTTTCATTTGCCCATATAATTTGTTTTGATTCCTGAAGATTATTTAAACTGTTGAGATTCTTTGCTGCTATTAATGATGGACAATGATGACACCGCTGTGCCATTAAATTCACTCTGAATACCTCAGACTTCTTCCCATTATCCTGTGCATCTCTTTGATCTTTTGATGCTGTGTAACCTCTTATGACTTCTTCAGAAAAGATAGCTAGTGATGATAATAACTGTATATAAGCCAAGATTCTGTTTTACTGTGTATGTCAGAGAAAGGCTACCACACTTAAAGAGTGAAACAGTCTAAATATCATTGCAAGGTGATTAGAACACAAATGACATGTCGAGAGGAATTTGAAGGAGGCAAAACAAACGTACTACAAAGGAATAGTAGAATCTAAAGAGACAGTAGAGTAGAATCTAAAGAGACATTACTCATAGTTTTATCAGAACTATCATAGTATGTCTAAGTCTAAAATGTTATTATTATAGACTGCATTGCTTTTTAAAAAAATCATGAATAATCATATACTTCTAGTCAAGGAGAAAAGTTGGAAATAATCCGAAAAGTTCATGAAAAGGGCACTATCCTTCATTGGATTTAAAGAATGTTTCAGTTTATTGTAGGTTATCCATCATCACATATTTAGTACCTGGGTAACAAGTAACTAAGATAAATGAGATCCTGAAGTATATTTCTTAGGTAATGAAATAGTTCTTCTCATTATTTCCCCTTGGAACTGTTCCTGTAGGTGTTCTATAAATTGCAGTTTCTTGGGATTATTTCGTCATGACAATATAATTATTTTTTATGAAGTATTTGACAAAATGTTTCAAAAAGGCATATTCAGAATAGATAAAAAATAACACATTTTTAAACAGATAAAACAGAGCTGATCAAAAAGATAACAAAAAATGAACAAAGATATAAAAATAGGAATGTGAAGTTACAATTTTAAGCACATAATGAGAGACTGAAATAAGCATGTAGAGTTATAGAAGTTCCAAGTGGTGCAGAAGTACTTTTTACTTTAGCATGAGTTTCTGCAATTTCCTCATGTTTTAAAAAATGGCATTACAGTAAGTTCTGAAAATAAATAAATTAGTAAAATCTAGTTTTACTTAGTTAGACCAGGTGATCTCGGCATCAGTTCATGCTCATATTCCAAATATACTTAGTTTTAAATGTGTGTGTTAATCACTGGCTTTTCTTAAAAAGTCATGGTTTAAAATAGAGAGAAAAGAGTAAACTAATTTTAACAAACACATGCAGTAAACAACAAACTCAAGAAGTTACTCCCTAGGCAAGAGTTCTGTTATTATAAAATAGGTATAAAAGACTCTCATGCCTGTTCAGAGCTCACCATTAAATAAAGAAACATGGTGTGAACGTAAAAGAGTCACACTTCAAAACTTGCTAAAGTCAAAATGAACATAACATACTCTTCGATTTTCTCTGAACACTGAATCTGATTCTAGAATTCTCCAGAGCCCCTCAAAATATTAAAAAAACAATGAATAAATTTAAAGAATAAAACTTAAGGGAAAAAAGATCACAGTGTCTATAATATTTACTACTGAAATACAGAGGATGCTGCATTATCTGAGAATTAAGCAGAAGTATCCTATCTGCCTAAAAGTACTAGAAAGGTCTAGGGAGAAGTAACGTCTAGTTAAACAGTAATTAGTTTCACTATTTTCTTCACTCCTCAATGGAAAAAGAAAATGAAGCAAAAATAATTAAAAACAAAATTAGAAGATATTAAAAAGGAAAAGAAGAAAGTAAGACATGTTCCTGAGATGAATTATGACATGGCATTATAAGAATCCAAAGACGCCCAAATCAACTCAAAACTGCATAGTGCAAAACACACACTACAGTGCAGTCAGATCTGGCAAATATGTGAACAAGATAAAGACTTGGGTGTAAAGTTAGAAAGTTCACCAAAAGCATTCATGGTCAAGTCTATGCCCTTCAGATCATTGCCACCTCTCTCCTAATATGTTACATTGACATAATGCATAATGTAAATTACCAGTATTTAGAACTTACACAGCAGTACTCTCTAATATTAAAACACTGTTTGAGTGAATTACATCATGCAATCTTCTCTTCTCTGTACTGTCTGTCAAAGGTAGAACTACTTCTGTTATTTTCATATTATTCTCATATTTGTTCTTTTCTTAAAACTCCAAGCAGCACATGCAGTGATTGCCTAGTTGCCTTCATGTAAATCACTTCAGTGCTATTTATTTAATCACATTGAAAAAGATAGTTTTCTAATATAAGGGTTACACAGTAGATCCAAAGATACGGTTGTTTGAAGACTTTAATTGAAAAACTCTAATGAACTACGAGGAAGACATAAAAAATGAAACACTATAAACATCTCCTGCATATAGCCCATATTCCATAAAAACAAACTATTCAATTTTTTTTTTCTGGAAATTTTCAATGACATATAAAATAGTTCTATTTTGAATGACAATTTTGAATACTTTCTCCTCAATTTCTACTAGAATAAAAATTCAGGACATTTTCAATATCTGAAAATTGTCAGGAATTATACAGATACTTTTAGAATGTAATAAAATACTGCTTGCATATTAAAAGAATAATTTCTATTTGTTCAATGGTGTTTTTCAGATATGCAGCTTTCAGAAATGTGTCACAATTGTAATATAGCAATCTGTAAATGAAATCTGTAAATATCTTAAATACAGTCAGATAAGCCTCTTCAGGGATGCAGAAAGACCATTCTCTGTTAATCACATCATTCTTGATACATACTCCTATGGTAAAGCTTCTACATTTTTGGAAACAGCATCTGAGATATCGCAGAAATAATGTATAAATAGAATATTACTTGCCATAGTGATTTCTTTCATATTATAATACCCACATTTTTCCACAATTTTCTTTATTTTTGCTCATGGGTAACTATGTTATCCATTCTTATGAAAGCTAGCAGCTGCATTTGCATTTACATTCACGTCATCTTTTACACACAATGGAATTAAAAAGAGTGGAAATTCTACTAGAGCCCTTTACAGGCAGTAGTAAAGTTACAGATAAGAATAAGTGTAGAACTTATAGGTCATCTGCTCTGTGTACACTACATTGATACTCTCATATGCTACATTGATTCATTAAGTATCTCTAGAAATTGTGAAAGAGGTCTATGCACAGCTACAGAGCTGGGACATGTGACATGGAACCAGTGTCAGGGCACAGCGTGGATTGGTGGCTCCCTGGATGCCATCGGAGCTCCCTTGAGGTCCGTCAGGGTAGGGTCCTTGCCAGCTAATTCCCATCCCATCACCCTGCAGTGGGCTGATCCCGTCCAACAGCTAAACACACCCACAGCTGCTCACTAACTCCCTGTCCCCTGCCATGGGGTGAGGGAGACAATAGGAAGAGCAAAATTAAGAAAAATTCTTGAGGTAAGATAAAGACAGTTTAATAAGTGATGGAAAGAAAAAGAAATCAATTGAAGCAAAGGTGATTGCACACTGCTCATCCAAGGCAGACCAATGCCCAGCCAATGGTTACTTTTGAAGACCAAATCCCCATTTTTTATCACAGAGCATGATGTCTTATGGTATGTGATATCCCTTTTGGCCTATTTGGGTCAGCTGTCCTGGCTGTGTCTCCCCCCCACTCCCTGCCTTGCCCACCCCCAGGCTGCTTGCTGGGGGGTGCAACAGCTTGCAACAGAAAGGCTGTACAAGCACTGTTCAGTATTAGCCCAAACACTGGTGTGTTAGCACCGCCTTGGCCACAAACAAGAAACCCACTGCCACACGGGCTGCTATGAAGAGAGTGACCTCCATCCCAGCCAGGCCCAGTACATGTCCCAGCCAGGAGCATGGCAGCCAGGGGGACTGGGACATCCCCAACTCTGGGCACCAGGCATCTCCTTGGGAGCAGGGATGGGCTGAGGCCAGGCCTAGACATGGGCTCCTGGGTGGCCCTGGCTCACTGGGGCTCATGGCTGGGCAGGACAGGGTTGTTAAGCTGGAGACTGGCCCTGCTGCACTGGTGGGGCTGCAATGGGATCCTGGGCTGTGGGAAGGTTGGGGTGAGCCCCAGGGAAGGGGGTCAGCAAAAGCCAGGGCTCAAGGTGCCCTCAGGAGACTGATAATCAGCTTCAAAGTGTGTCTTCGATCTGTGTTTGAATTCTTCAGGTGGGTGGTTGCTGGGGTTCTTTTTGGTTTTTGCTTGTTTGTTTGTTTGGAGGTTTTGTTTGGTTTTTTTTCCCTCTGATAAAAACCATCTGCAGAACGATTAAAAAGCAACAAAACTGGTCAACAGCTTTTATGACTTAAAGACTGTGACACTTACTGGTGTATCATAGTATTGGGATGACATAACACATTGACCAAAGGGGTCCCTTTTGTTCATGTTTTTGAAAGCCACTGTTTCTACAAAAAAAAAATAAATTGTGCAGAAACATGGCAAAGTGTATCAGATTCTGTTAAGTAACATTGTACTAACACCACCAGTCATCCTCCCTTGTCTGTTCTTAACAGAATACTGAACATGGTAAATGAAGTTGTTTATTCTGAAGTTGTTAGTATCATGTAGATGGATAGTTCTAGTTATATCAAAAATGTATCTTAAAAATAGGTTAAAATTTATAGAGGAAAAGCATTCATGGGGTGTGTTAATTATTTGTTTAATATTTCTGCACTGTTTTTACATTTTAATTGGATGGTAGTAATTTACTCAAATTTTAGTTCCTCGGCTTAACATATTAAAACCCCAAGTTTTAGAGGGGGAGAACCCCTGATTTTCTCAAATGTCTTGTCTCATTTTAAAAGGAATATTACTGGCTATTTTAAAATGCTTGAAGTTGATAGGAATCACTGGATTAAGAATTTCAATCTAGAGAGGGGAAAATTTTACTTATAGCATTTCATTGAGGTTCATAAATAACTTTTGAAAAGTATGTGCTTCTCAAAGGTACTGTAGACAGTACACATATAAAGGGTCAGATTTTCTTTGGATCACCAGACAAAACTGTGAGACTGACCATCTTCTGAGAAAAACTGTAAGCAAGTTGTATAATTGAAATGGCATTCTAATTACACATTTTATTCTTTTTCATTTGTTTAAAGCAAAGATTCTCCAGAGAAAAAAAGAAAGAAGGGATTAAACATTACCATGTGGTAAGTATAGGTCACTCTTCTCTAACAGTGTAGAATTCTACAGCTCATTTCTGTTTCATTCTTTTAAACTAATTTTTAGAAAAGTATTAGGTACGTCATCTGTGAAACAGAATTCTTGTTACTAGGTACGTAAATTACCCAAGCAAGACTTTTTCAGGCTATACACTTAGCATTGGATTCTCTGTAATACTTTAATCCCCTGCCTGTGTGAAAAATCCACAAGTATTTGTGGTGTTTATTTCATGATGTATTTTGTCTTTAAGAAAACAGAGTAACTGCCAACTCATATACAAATACCAACTCATATACAAATTCCTTAGAATAAATAAGGTAAGAAACATTAGGCCTAACTGAAGCCAGACAAGACCTAGAAAACAGGTAGAGAGCTAAAATCATTCTAAGCAGAATATAGGAATAAGTAGAATATAAAAATATAAGCAGAATATAAAAATATAAGTATAAATGAAAGCACAAAGAACCTTGCCAATACTTAGCTAGGATGCACTGCCAGAACTTAGGATAGAGGTTAGATGGTACTGTACACTGAAAGAATGCACACACACACACAACCTGAGTAAGATAAGGGGGCAAAATAAGACTTGGGTCCAAGAATCTTGCAAAATACACCTTTAAGTCTGCCAAAATCAAGAAAGTTGAAAAGTTCAGCTGAGGAAGAGGAGTAAAAACGACCACCAAAGGATGAAGAAACAGGAACGACCCTCCTGAATTCTCCCCAGATTGAAGACCCCGACTCCGCCCAGACTCCGCCTATTATGAATATTGTAATCAGATGTTGCAATTATATGAATATTAATGTAAACATGTTGCAATCACCTGTAAAAATGGTATAAAAACCTGTAAATTCACTGGAGAGGCAGAGCAGTTTTGTCCAGCGCGAGCCGGCTGCTCTCCAACATTGCCTAATAAATATACCTCGCTGCTTAAAGACTAACTTTTGTCTCTGAGCAGTTCTCTGCGCCTTTTTGGTGGTAAAATTGGTATCATAACCACCTAAAGAAAAACCTGACCTTGGCAACTTCAAAAAGCAAAACACTCCCTATCAGGAATTCTTTAAACTATCCAGGTACAGTAAGATTTTCAGAGGACCTTGAAAGAGGCTAAATTTCTAAAGCTTATTGAAATTCAGTGGCATCTCTGGCTTTAACTTATTTTGAAATCTCAGCTGACAACTTCACTTGATAAAGGAAGACAAACCCAGACAAACCCAGACATGTATCCATTTACAATGAAACTACCACAAAAATATTAATTTTTTACCGGTGGAGTGCTGAAAATATAGAAGGACGAACCCTTCAGTGCCAGAAACTTGAATTTGTAGAGTTGAGATGAATCAGTTCCTTCAAGTCTCTCATTTACCCATCCCATATGTATGACCTGTAAAAGAAAATAATTGAACATTAAAACTCTATTTTTAAGTGGATCATAAGAGTGGTTTTATTAGAATGGGATGCGTCATACCCTTCACATTTGCCTTCCCACCACTTGCATATTCCTGAAGCATATAGTATTGTGGCAGTGTGTCAGAAGTCCCTGAAGAGAATTAAACTTACAGTCCTGGTAGTCTGAATCTTATCTGAAATAATCACAGTTTTAAAAGCCACCTATGTATCTCAAAGCAGACTCTCGCTTGAGCCAGCAGAAACCTATGTGTACAGAAGTACTTTCAGCAGGCAGTTTATAAAAACCATGATCCTATATTATCTATAGCAGTGTCAAAACTTGGATATACTGACATTTCTATTCCATGTACCTCTGAAGAAATAAACCTGAACAAATCACTAGATATATCAAATCAAACAGCTTTCTCTAGGTTCATGTTTGCCACTGTTAACAAAGTCTTTGCTGCACTTATCGTCTTTCAGAGTTTATATATTTTTTTCATATACACTTTATCTAGGTTCTCATAGAATTAGATGTCAAATTCAGTGGTTACAAAACTTTAACATGTTACAATGCATACCTTTATTTTTCAGAAAAATTAATGCTAAGAAAAAATAAAATTAAGAAGTAAAACTGCATGCTTCCTCTTTGAGGTAGCATGCAAATTTATAAAGGAATAATGTCATAGCGCGGTAGCAGAATATAGTGAATGTAGCTACCCATGAAAAACAACAAGCGAAAAACATTCTAGGTTCCATTTGGCATACTTTAAGAGGAAAATACTGCTCATGAAACACGTATTTAAATCTAGACTGAGTCACCAATCCGAATGTACGATTCTTGCTGATAAGCTTGCTTATTTTCAATTAAGGTTACACCTACAGGCAGTAATGATTTACACAGGGGCAGATATGTCAAAGCACTAGCTAATAGTATAGATGAATGCTTATACTCTTATATCATGAAAACCTCACACATTGTTTTCTAATGTTGGTATTTAATGTCTCAGTTATGTCTCATCAATCAATTTATCAATAAATTAATAATAAATCACTATGTTGAGCCAGACAATCCTTCTCTATACTGCATTAACATTTTAAGGAGATCTAAGAAACAGTACAATAAATACAGTAGCCCTTCCAGTTCTTATTTGCTATTCTGTAAATTTAATAACTTTCACTAAAAGATTGTTTCTACAGCAGTCAGTAAAAGTGTCAAAACAGTATATTCAGAAACCTCAGCACTTTAACAAAATATACTACATTATTGTTTATATTCTATTACAATTTATATTATATATTCCGTTTATTAGGGTGGTAATATAATATCAAATAATACAAACAAAAAGAATGATGTTCAAATCACAGCACATGACCAGTACTATATTTTCCTTTACATTTCTAAAGTCATAGTTGCTGACTTGCAAATTGACACCACTTATTATGGCAACCTGAAAAGTAAGTGCTAATGAATATGAAAGAGGAAGAGGAAAAGACTAAGCAAAAGATATTTAAAAAGAGAAAGAATTTATTAAGGAAAAAAAGAAACGAGAAATTAAAATTAAAATAACAAAAGCAAGTACACTATACAAATAAAGAGAGGGAAACAATTACAAAATACTTGTGAGAAAAAAATTTAAAGAAAAGAGAATTCCAAATGTATATTTGTCCATAAAATTGCCTATACAAAGTCCCCAAAAAGTAAAGAATGAAAACAAAAGAATTTTATTTATCAGAAACAGTGTTTGATTAACTTATGCATATACTGATAAAATAATAAAATTATGTATTTTTAACAGATATATATAAAAAAATATATATATTTTTAATTTCTTTCCACACAACTTTCTTATTGACTGGTTTATTTAATGGTTGTTTAGACCACAGAAATGGAGAAATAATAATTATTCAGTTCCACAAAAGCAAACAAGTGTTGGTACTTAATCATCATCATCATCATCATCATCATCATCATCATCATCATACATGGGTTACTGAGAGTTTAATTGGATCTTAGTACGTGGGTGGGAATATTAGTCCTGGGACAAAAACTGTTCAGTTATTTGGATCAAAACCTTCCATTTGAAGTGTTTAGGAGCACTGATAAGGCACAACACTACAAACTGTCCCATTCTCAGCATTGCTTTCACTGCCATTCAAAGCTACATGGAAAACTACCCATATACCATTGATGTATTATTAAGTTTCTAACATGTTCTAACACACTTTCCAAAAGTTCCAGTAGGAAGAAAATGAGCAATGGCATTCATTACGACGAGATAAAACAAGTCACTAACAAAATGTAATCCAATCACAGCAGATAAATGAAAGTTCTTATTTACACTTATTGATTTTCTACAGCAATAGAGCATCTGGGTGCTGCAAAGACTAGAAACTTAGCATGTATTGAATTTAATAAAGCAGTCAGTACATTTTGTATATAGTACTTTAAATTAAATAGGTATGAAAAGTAAATGATGCAAAACACTGCAGAGGGAACTGAAGAAAGAAAATCAAGGAGATCTCTATGTATGACATGTCAGAACGGACGGTTACGCTTACGTAATTAAAGTGGGATAAGAATCTACAAGAGACGCCAGCTTGACCTGCAAGTTAGCAACCAGTGTTGTGCCATGAGGTACAATGGAACAATAACAAATTAAGAAAGCAAAGAGAAGTACATCTTGAGGGAGCTTTAGTAATTTTTTGGTTTTTTTTCCAAAGCAAGTGTTAGATGGCATATTTTGAAAGGTATAGATAAAGGCAGTATTCAGGGGAACTGGATCCAGGTCAGACCTCTTCAGCACTTCTACAGTATGCCAGTTTTCAAAGTGAACAATTTATATCTATTATTGGATTATGCAACAAAATCTGTACAACCAAATCCATATAATACTGTTTAAAATATTGTAATGTCAAGAATTGTCATAAACCTTGCTGATATCAAGATCTGTTGCAGCACACATTCACAAGATACATTACATGATCACAGGAGAAAATTAGATTGTTTGACACTATTTATTATTGACAAATCTTTCAGGGTGGTTATTCATTTGTTATCTTGCTGCTCCACATACATATTTTGTTTTATTTCAAATTTCTTTATACAGATTGAAGTCAAATTGACTAGTCTCTAACTATCCAACTTCTCTTTCTTTATTCATTAACAGTCATGACGTTTGCCCTTCCCTTATCTTTTGAGATGCCACCTGTGAGACACAAATTCCCTGAAATAATCATGATAAAAGTTTTAGTCTTAAAAATATAAAAAATCCAGGAAACAAAATAAGAAATCTTGCAAGTATTTTTACCTATGCCTAATTTGCTTTAATAAAAAATAAAGAGCAATTCAGCAGCGTGTGTTTTTTGAAAATTGAGTCCCAAATCCGATAACACAGAATAAAGTGCTTTCAAATAATCTCTAGAGTATTATAACAAATTATACTAAGCAGAAACAAAAGTTATGATGCATAGATGCTGTGTGTTTCATCATCAACACAGGTTACATAAACACTTAGCACCTGACTTCAGCAGTGGTACTTACTTAACACCTTTCAGATTTGTGTAATCCCTACGTATTTCTTAAGACCTTGTAGTCCTTGACATAGAATAATTAGCATGACATGTCCTGGGATAACTAGAACTCTCCAAACAATTCCAATGGACAGTCTGGGATTTTAGCACTGTTGGAAATAATTTCCAATAGGCAGTTTGAATGCAGACACCCTGCTTTGGTGGACGAAAAGAATTTAAAAGTGTGGAATTAGCTAGACAATGCCAATTAGCTTCATGAACTGGTACCATTTATTTTAACAGTATAAATATGTTAATAATAACTACAACTACTACTACCTTTCCTTACCTCCAAATTTGAATAACAGTCATAGGACAAAGTCATAGAATCCTAGAATACTCTGAGTTGGAAGGGATCCATAAGGATCACTGAAGTCCAACTTACAGCCCTGCACAGGACCACCCCAAGAATCACACCATGTTTGTTTGACATCTTTTGGCAAAGAGACACTTAAATACAACTGGTTTAGACCCAAGAACCTTAGTCCTTTCTGATTTTCTTTATCTAGATGCCTACAGAATTCCTCACGGTCTGGAGATTCAGCTTCCAGGAAAACCAGTTAGGGGCAATATGAAAAACAAAGAAAGCTCGGTTTAGCAAAGTAATTTTTTATGTTCTTGATGACCCTGAATCCTAGATTGCTAACGTCCTATGAAAAAATAATCTGAATGAAACCTATCCACATCCAGCCTTGTCCCTTTATGAATGATTAAGTTGGACTCTAAAGGCAATGAAGAAAACTCACCACAGGCAACACATTAATGAAACTGCTTAATTCTTCAGGAATGTCCGCGCTCAGAAGCAAAGATAAATTTTCAGTTATCACCAATTTTACTTCAAGGCAGCTCTTCAAGTGACCTTCAATCTCTTAAGGTTATCCGTTCTCTAAATTTTAAATCAATTGCATTAATAAGAGCTATTCAGATCCGTACAAACATGTAACTGACATTAATAGGCTCCATTAACCTAGGACAGAACAAGACCTCTTCTGCTTTCAGTTACTTTCGCCAAGTTTTATATCATGACTTTGTGAAATATATATATGAAAGATTCATAATTTGCTTGTTTTTAAAGCAAATTTTCACAGGACCTATAAATTTTGAATTGTTCATATTTGCTCCTTTAATATTTTTACGTTTGTTAGTTTTATTTCCTTGATCTGCCAAAATTCATTATAAACTTATTTTTTCTCACTTTTTGGCAGAGAAAAATCCAGTGTTTGTTTTTATCAGTTCTATCTTAAATTTTCAGCTTCTGAAATTAGGGTCCTAATTGTATCATCCCTTCTATTTATATTAGGAATGGAAAAAGTGGGATAGATTTGTATCGCCTAACTTTAGACACCTACTTTAGACGATATGCTAAGAGGCAAGTCAAGACAGCAAAAGTGGCTCCTATAAAGGATGATTGAAAGTGTTGATATCAAGTTTCACATTTGAACAGCTCTCTGGAATAGAATAATTTTCTGCACTGAATATCTAGGCAGTTTATGGATACTAGCCTGTTTATTTAGGAAATCAAATTATGTAGGTTGTATGACTGTCCTCAATACTTCTTAAAAATTGAGGGAGAGTATGTCTTCCTTTTTTCACCTAAACTTATTATATGTGCCCAAACTGATAAGAAAAAACTTTTAATTGTTACTAAAGTACTTGCAGTAGACAATTCATGCAACAAAGGATATCCAAATTAAATACCTTTTCCCCTGACACTCATAATCACCTGTTTTTCATATCAGTCTAATTAATAATTAAAAGCCAAGGCAAAGAAAGTAATTAAATCATAAAATTATACAATAGTTGAGGTTTAAAGGGAGCTTAAATGTCATTTAGGTCAACCTCACTGCAATAAGCAGGGACATCTTCAACTAGATCAGGTTGCTCAGAGACTAACCTGACCTTGAATGTTTCCAGCCATGGGGCATCCCCTGCCTCTCTGGGAAACCTGTGCCAGGGCTTTACCACCCTCAATGTGAAAAAACTTCTTCCTTAGGGCTAATCTGAATCAATCCTCTTTCAGTTTAAAATTATTACCCCTTGTCCTATCACAACAGGTCTTGCTACATAGTTTGTCCCAATCATTCTTATAGGCCCCCTTTTACATACTGGAAGGCTGCAATAAGGTCACCCTGGAGCCTTCTCTTCTCTAGGCTGAACAGCTCCCCCTCTCTATATCTTTCCTATAGGAGAGGTGTTCCATCCCTTTGATCATCTTTGTGGCCCTCTTCTGGATCTGTTAGAACAGATCCATGTCCTTCTTGAACAGGATGCATCACTCTAGGTGGGGCTCTCGAGCAGAACAGAGGAGCAGAATCAACTCCCCTGACCTTCTGGCACTCTATTTTAGATGCAGCCCAGGATATGTTTGGCTTTCTGGGCTGCAGGTGCACATTGCTGGGTCATGTCCAGCCTCTCATCCACCAGCACCCCCAATTTCTTCTTGACAGGGCTGCTCTCAATCCATTCATTCCCCAGCCTGTATTGATACTGGGGATTATCTTGACCCAGGTAAAGGACCTGGCACTTGGTTTTGCTGAACCCCCTGAAGTTCCCACGGGCCCACTTCTCAAGCTTGTCCAGGTCCCTCTGGATGGCATTCTGTCCTTCAGGTACATCAACCACACCACACAACTTGGTGTTTTCTGCAAACTTGCTGAGGGCACACTCATCAAGTTTATGTCACTGATGAAGACATTAAACAGTACAGTACAGACCTCTGGGGGACACCACTTGTCAGTGATGTCCATTGGAACACTGAGCCATTGACTACTATCCTCTGGATCCAACCATCCAACGAATTCCTTATCAGCTGGACAGTCCACCCATCAAATCCATCTCCCTCCAATTTAGACAGGAGGATGTTGTGGGGGACTGTGTGAAAGGCATTCCAGAAGTCTAGATAAATAACACCTGGAGCCCTTCCTTGTTCCCTGATGTAGTCACCTTACCATAGAAGGCTATAGGGTTGGTCAGGCAGGACTTGCCCTCTGTGAAGGCATGCTGGCTGTCTCAAATCACCTCCCTGTCCTCCAAGTGCCTTATCACAGCTTCTAGGAGGATCTGTTCCATGATCTTCCCAGGAACAGAGGTGAGGTTGACATGTAGGTAGTTCCTGGGTTCCTCCTTTATATCCTGTTTAAAAATGGGTGCAGTGTTTCCCTTTTTCCAGTCATCTGGGACTTCACCCTACTGACATGAAATTTCAGATATCATGGAGAGTGGTTCGGCAACTCAATCAGCCAATTCTCTCAGGACTCTGGGATGCATCTCATCAGGCCCCATAGACTTACTTATATGTGTTCAGGTTCCTCAAGTGGTCATGAAACTGATCCTTCCTTACAGTGGGAGGGACTTTGCTCTCCCATTCCCCACCTTGCAGCCCATCCTCTTGCAAGGTGTTGGAAGAGAGATTGCCAGTGAAGACTAAATGTTAAATTCTTATATGGAATAGGTATTTATTTTGGTTTTAGGGGTAACTTTATTATCTATTATACACAGAATTGAAGTCTGTAGTGGGTTTTGAGGCATATTTTTTCAAAGGATTAACCCAAATATAAGAAAACAGTTTCCTGTGTAAGAAAATGTCAATGCTTAAATATTTTAATAACTTCTGGGAAAGCCTAAATACGTCTAAGAACATTGTAAGATGATGAAATGGTGACATGGGACAAAGTATTCAATATGTCAAACTAATAAATATTTATTTGATCCTGATATGAAGAATTTTTTGACTCAGCCTTTGACTTCTATAATAAAAATTCTGTAATTAATTTCTGCAGTAAAATGCTATAAAAGGCACCTTGTCTGTTTTTCACTTCTATAATCTACAAACCCAGCATTTTTGAAAACAGCCAGGATTAGGCTCTGTGTTCTTGAGCAATAATGCCAGATTGATGCAATGAAAGCAGATGTAAGTGTAACTCATTAGTTTTGTAATACAAGCTTCAGAGTATTTTCCAGAATTAATTAATTAGCCTGGAAAATGCTACTATTTTATTTTACAAAGCACTGTTACAGGAAGTAAGAATGCTTCCCAAAGCAGTAAATTCATTGGACTTCAGGACATTTGCCTAGTTGGAGTAGAAGAAATATATCATCAGGCTTCTGAGCTCCAAAAATCACAGACAAACAAACACAGTCTGCATAGCCTGATAGATGCCAAACAGATCAGATTTGGAATTCGCTCCTTGGCTATCTGTGCACATGATGTAAATCGAGAGTTAAAAGACTCACTACTGCAGTGTTGCATGCAAACATACACTACGCTTTCCAAGACCTGGCTGGGAGTTCCATTGTTCCCCTCTCATGTATTTCACGGCTCCATCTAATCCAGTTTTTAGGTTTACAGTGGAAGATTCTACTCAATATTGTGGATTAGTAAGAATAGTAAAAATCTGTTGTATTCAGTAGGTAATTTCAGAATTTCAAACCATAGAAAACTTGGTTTTAGAATTTTAAAACTGACTAGATATGCATATGCAAACTCTACAAATTTTCCAACAATGTAATCACAAGAATTAAAAAAAAAGCATAATGTAATAGAAGTCTTACCTGGTCTGAGGGAGAACAGCATTTATTTGCCATTTTCATCTATGACAGAGATGGAAGAACACACAGTTATTTATATGCTGAAGAGTTTCTGTGATGCAATTAGCATTGATTGACTTAGTTATGGAATACAGTATTAATACTTCAAAATTATATTTGTAAGAAATTAAATCATTCAGTGCTTAAATACTAGATTTTTACTACTACATTGAATTTAAAAAAAACCACCAATATTTGAAAGACAAAAGCCTTTTATCAGAGTTTTCATTACATCCTTCATAAAGATTTGCATGTATGAACTTAAATTTGCCACTCTGAGTGAAAATATTGTACTGTACTGTAGACACCTCACTCAGTTAAACAATTGCTTAAGCAGACTTACAAATGAGGTCTGTGATTAAGTACTTGTGAAATGAAGACAATAGAGTGTAAGATGTGTTGAAGGATGAAAGGAAAATTGTATGGGCTTTCCTTTTAGTTTGCTCTTCAAGATAAAGTTACATATCTCTCTCTTTTTCTCTTTGTTTAGGTAATGAAAAGTTTTGTTCATTTTGGCTTTTCTCTGGCAGTCAAAGTTTGTCTACTGCTTATCTATGCAAACCCTGACATATATTCCTTTCTTTAAAGGGTAACACTTAAATGTGCAGTGTTGATAAGGATAGATAAGAGTCTAGAAAGAAAAAGATTAGACTGGAAAAAGACTCCCCGATACTGCAAAGAGTAAGCTGAAAATTGTCCTAGAGCTGATGAGTACTTGCAAAGGACCTTGTCATCAAAAAGCCTGTTTAAGAAGACATGAAAGGTTTGTGATAAGAAAACCAAAACCTATACAAATATGCACATGGAAAACTACAAATGCCACAGGAAACAAGCAGAAGAATTCCAGGGGAGTGACGGAGGGTCTGAGGATGAGGTGGCCAAGATACTGGGAGCCTGGGGCATCTGCCAGACCTGGTTGTCACCTGGGGTTGTGTGCTGGAAGATCCTGTCAGGCCCTTGGAGTGGCCCTGCCATGGTCCCTACTACTCCCTGCCACCCTAGAGGAGGAACAGGGACTACCACAACAGAGGCAGGTCACAGCCGGCAGTTGCACAACCTGCAGCATAGCACAGGCATGGATCAAAGACAAGAATGGAACTAAAATTCAGCTGCTAAGCAGAACAAGGGGCCCTAGCAAGGTTCCTTCCAGGTCATGCACAGAGGTGTGGCTTACCACAGCCTGGCTCCAGGCTGCATGGCTGCACTAAGCCAGAGCAGGCCTGCAGCACTGAGGTGGGGGGAAGAGGTGGCAGAGATTCTTGACGCCCTGTCAGTAACAAACCAGTGAGAACTCAAGAAACTCACTCTGTAACTTGGTTAAAACAAATTGGTGACATGCCCAGTGTCACAGAAGGAAGCAGATCTCACCAGTCTGATTTGTTGGTAGGTTTAATCCTGCTAGAGTAGTCGTGCAGGACATAACGAAAAGACACACTACTGACTAATGTCAGTAGAAATGCTGATACATCCTGCCCATATTCTACCCCAACCTTGCTCTTGTGCTTCAGACAAAAATATACACACAAAGTAAATACATAGAAGCCATGTTATACACACGGAAAATATAATTTCCTTGCAAGTATCCAAAACCTTGCTGAATAATGAGATTACTATAGCACAAATCAGTGCAAGTGAACAGTTACAGATGTGCCTGGAAAAAAATGTGTGAGACTGGTCATGCAGGTTTTTCTGCACAATGAGGGTAGAGTATTGTGAAGTGCACCCTCATAAGCAGTTCAGCTTCCCTTTGGGAAGAGGGCAAGAGGGAAGAATGCATTGGACTCCACAGCTATTCACTGCACAGTCTTAGCTCATCCCTGTTCAAAGCAGGGATGTCTGCAGCCCTGATGTAACTGTGGGGAAAGATCATTTTACGTCCCTATGTTATGGGGCTGAGAAGTATGTACTCTCCACTTCACCTGGCAGCATGTGTTCTCTATATGCCTCCACAGCTGGTGCAGAGAGACAGGAATGGGATACACTTACCTTGTTGGCAGTGCATAGGTTCTTAGCACTGCACTACAGTAATGGGAGCTGGAGACAACAGGGGAACTAAAACAAAAAACCTGGATCTGCAAAGACTGCAGGCAACTTTGAAAAGGAACTATTAAACAAATTATAATTTCTATATTCTGTTCTGAATGGATACATACAGGACAGGAACAGACTGGGAAGGAAATAGTTCAGAATTGTTTACCTAAATCTAAATACGTCTCGGGTTGGGATTTATCTCACATATAATAAACCTATATTCTCTTTCCTGACAGCAGTGAGAGTGAAGGATTCTGACAGGCACCTATTTTTTTTTTCCTAGCTATAATAGTATTTAACTATTATTAACTCAACTGCAACGCAGAGTATCACTTAGATACGTGTTTACATGAAGGAATAAAAGAAAAAGTTTGTACAGTATAACATACAATTAAAAAAGCTGTAAAAGGCATAAATATGATCTGGATTAACAAACCTACTTTGATTCCAAATTTTAAGTTTCTACCAATCTCCTATGAAACTGTGTGAATGATTTATAAAAACCATAAATAATGCTTAAAGTGGAACAAGTGCATCATAACTTTTTCTCTTATCTGCTTATGAGCTACTCATTTATTTATGAATTTTTTTTAAGAAATAAGACCAGTAGAATATAGTGGGAAAAAATACAAAACCTTGAGAAAGTTATAAATATAAGAAACAAGTCTCTGTAATGTAGATGAACTGGCAGCATTACCTTTAGATGCTTCAACCCATTATGACTTCATTAATGTTTGGAGCCATATTTCAAAGAAAAAAAAGCTATCTAATAGCTGGCAATTTGAATGGTGCAAAATAGGGAGAGAAATATAAATTATCCCAAAAAACTCTCTTCTAAAAAATTATTTCCATCACAAGTTGTCACTTCAGCCTACAAAGAACCCTCCAGCAAAAGAAATTAAGAACAGCAGCAGTGAGAAGCACATGCAGATTAACTTGCTTCCTGTGCTTCTTGTTACATCATGGAATATTCACTGACAGTTTCTGTTACCTCTCTTTCCTCAGTTTCTTCAACTGCACCTCCTTCTGCGAGAAAAGAAGTGTATGAAGAAATAAATCGGAGGTGCTGATTCACCTCTATTTATTTCTGCCAAAGGTAAATGTGAAGAGCTTTGCAAACATTGAAATCGGGGACTGAATCACAAAGGAAGATGATAGGGTAGTTTGATTCTGGTAGAAAAGTATGTGAAAAAAACAGAATATGAACAGAATGATGAATAATTTGGAGCAAGGGTCCTCAGAAAAAAAAGTAATGCATGCTGCTTGCAAAGCCAATTGTTACTAGAAGATTTTCTGAGCTAAGCATACAAAGCATGTATCAGTAAGGAGGGCTAAAAAGATACCCTTACATTTTTCTCCATGTTGCAGTATTCCCTGTGCTCCTCTGTCATCTAAGAACTAACTTTCTCCAGGCTGGTACCAGAATCATTAGTTCTCATCTACCAAGTAGCACTTTCTAAATATGCTAACATACAGGGGCAGCAGCCTTATGCAGTGACAACTCCTCACATCTTCACTGTTGAAAGATGATTCCTTCTTTACACTTGATCCCCAGAGAGCTTGTCTTTGTATAGAAGTTAGATGTTTCAGTACTTCAAAAGAGTAGTCTGACAATAGCAGAAGTATCACATTGTGGCAGAGCTATTTTTGTACTACCTACATTAGGACTGTCTTCTGGCATCAGCAGAAGATCTGACAAAGAGCTGCCAGTTGCTGAATGAAACTGTATTAGGGTAAAATAAAAAAAATGAAGTATATTAGGATAAAGTGATACAGGAAAGCTTGTGTGCACTCTAAGAAAACAGTCTGTATTAGAAGCTCTTTAAGAACTAAAATTCTAAAAGAAATTATTCAAAATTTTATGCAAATATGTAGGACAAAGGATGTATACAAGAGTAGCATGAATACACATGGATTAAGTAAGAACGGTGCAGGAAAAGTTGCTAAAGTCATGAACCAATTATCAGCAAAACAGCAAAACAAAATCTAAAAATATGTGGAAGTAAAATGTGAATAATGGAAAATATTGCTTAAAAACTTAGTAATATTTTAGGTCAGGTAAGAATGCTGATATCATGCCAAACGTATCAGCAAGAAGATCCATTGTGACTATGTATCCAGTAATTAATTTCCATACAGAGATTATGGCATAGTACAGAACAGGAAATGACTAGTTTAAATATTTGGAGAAGCAACTGAACTTAGAGTCAGCATAACCCATAACTAGATAAGGAAGATTCTGGATTTCTGAATGAGTAGTGATTATCTCCTGGAGAATGGGAGAGACACTCTACAGAAGCGGAAAAGTGCAGAAACAGTAAAGAGGTCTGAAGGAATTATAGATCCATTCCCTAATGTCAGTTTCTGAGGTATGACAAGAAAAGAAGGATTCTGTGAAATGATAGCACTAAGGTAATAAAATGCATTCAAAATGGACTTTCAAGAAGCCCAAAACAAAGGCTTTACCCTAAGCACTGTGGACGGTGGTCTATTTGGCTGTCCAGAGGCAGCAAGTGCTCTCCAGCCTCCTTCTGCTGTAAACTTCTGTTGCACTTTAACCCCACAATCCTCATCTTAAAACTGGTTTGCCATAAAAGGGATTCTCACTGACTATTACATCTCCTGTTCTGATGATCAGTAATCAAAATGCTCTGGTTGGACCTTTCCAGTTGTACCACAGGCTGCACACCTAATGAAGTCCATGAAGTCCAAGCAAAAAGTTTATGTGCTTCTCATATGAGCTACATAGAGTTTACTCTATAACATAGAGTAACCAAACCCACAAAACATGGGAATTCATCTGTTCATGACATTCATGACTGTTATTTCTCAGACCTTTCCTGGGAACAACCACTTATATTAACACCAGATGGACTACTTTGTTTACAGAATTCAGTGTTGTAATAGATAAGGGAGAAGACCAATGAAACTACTCAGACAGGTCCCAACACAGTGAAGATACTATGTCAGGACATGTATTACTGCACATAGTGCCTTTGAAAAAAACAGACTAGCATGCTAAGATAATAAAAGTTGCTGCTTGCATTTATAGTCACTTTTTATTGTCTTATTCACTTATATCCTTGGAGTGGTTTTTATTCAGTTGATTTCATTAGAAAGAAAAATAAATTGTCTAAGTAACTATGAACTGGAATTGTTCTAAAAATATTACTATGCACTTTCTTAGAATTGTCAAATAATAACACTGTGTACATGATGTAAATCGCTAAATAGAGAATATTTATAAAGAATGCATCATAAGCAAAAATGATTTCGTCAAAGAGATTGCTTAAGCAATTGAATATTTGGAGATTTAACAGAATACATGAACTATAGCGATCAAATGGAATTCCATGTAACTTTTGATGACTGGAAAAATAAATTAAATTTTAAATCTCTTTTAACCAAAGATTTATGTTGAAATCCAATACAAATTCTATGCAATATAATCTGAAGAACTAAGCAACAGTTCATCTAGAGTACAAAGCATAAAATTAAAGTCACGCTACTAAATCATAATTTATAAAAGATGTTACGGATTCAATATATTTTAGGAAAAATATTAAAAACCTGTACAGGCAATTCTTTCAGTGATAACAGTGCTTTTATATTTTCATCACTGATTTTTACCATTTCTTAAAGATAAATATATTTTCAATATTGTACATTATCCAGTTCCCTATTTAACTTTATGGTTCATTCCAAAATCTCAATAGTTTTTAGCTGTTCTTTGTTAGAATAATAATGTGCTGTCCAAATAGCAATTTTCTGTTTCTCCAAGGATTAGATAATACCTCTGCTTGCAACAACAAATGTTACTTATTAATTTACAGGAATAACTTAAAATAGCATAAGCACCTTTATACTTCTAGAGAGAAAGGAGAAATATAGAATAATATGATCTTAAATAAATCAACTCTTAGACAACTTAGAGAGGTAAAAATAACTTCTCCCAATAAGCATCTGTAAATTGCCCTTCACTAGCCATGGAATTTTCACACGCCTACTTCAAAATCAACAAATGTTAATTTCAAGCATAGTTTAATTAAAAAATGTAAAAATTATATATTTGGTCATGTCTAAAGCTCTGTGAAATTACCACTACGGATAAATATTTTGCCTAAATAAGTCTTAAAAATAATAAATGCAATGTTTTTCTACTACTCTCTGTTCTATGATAACACTGCAAGTCCTGGAAACTTCATGATAGTTTTGATCAGACCACCTTTCCCTGCTTCTTCCTTTCTCTTTTCCTCCTCATACACAATCATTTTATATATTATCTCTTAAATGTGAATTGTTTTCTACCCTTTGAAAACTAGAAATAATTTTACAATAGCATAGACAAGAAAATATGCAGAAAGTAACATACATTTTGAAGTGTCAAATCACTGATGTTAGTTGACATTGCTCTCAGCCAGTCAGCACTCTCCTGGGCTGTATAAAACTGAAGTATCCCAGTACCAACTCCATCGAGTGCCAGCACTTCAAATGCATTAGATCTGCAGTAAGAAGAAATATATCCATAAAGGAAGATACATCAATTTTCTGAAACTGCCCAATATTTATCAATGTTCAAGTGATTTTTATGCTTTTTGACAAGTTTTGAGTGTTTACTTTACAAATCAGAAGAAAGGTAACAAAAAGAAGGATAATAATGGGCAGTACCAGGAGCAACAGATACAATAAGTACTTTCTCTGTACCAGCACACATGTGCTGCTGATCATTTACTTCCCCTGAGTATACATAATATGTTCGTAACTGCCGAACTTAAGGTAGTCTATTAAGGAAGTATGCATTAGATCTTTTTGAACAAACATATTTTTTTTTAAACCAAATTGCCAATTTTCTTCATTGCATTTTAGCTTCATTTACTAGGAATGTATGAAGATGCAAAGAACTGTCTTCCTAACTTTCATTTCTTGGTTTCCAATATTTTTTTACATGTCATTAAAAGTAATGTTTACTTTAAGCTCTTTTATGACATAGGAATTTGAAAAATGTACTCAGGAGTTTCTTTAAACATTTTTCTTTAAACAAATTTATCAAAACAGCATTGACACATGGGAATGCGCAATTGCATTTTATTAACTTTTAATGCAACTTTTACATGTTTATAGCATCTTTATTCTGCAAATGCCAATGATTTCCTCACTATCTGCAGTAAGTTACTGTTATAGGTTAGAAATCTGAGAGGGGGAATTTTTATTCCCCCTGCCCCCTACTGCAGGAAAGACGGAGTTTGAATGGAAAGGAGGAAGGGAGTCAATTAGCCTTACAAAAGAACTAGCTGGCCAGACCACATTCCTAACAGATGGCCCATCAGATGCTGGGGGGAGAGGGGAGGAGTTTTGGGAGGGGGTGGGGGGGCTCTTCTCAGAAGGGGAGAGGTTCAGACGGTGGAGTTCTCTCTTTCGGACAGAGATGGGGGTCTGCGAGCATGCATTTGGAGAGAAGGCCTGGAAGCCTGTCTTTCTGGCTTCTTGTCCTGCTCAGCCCTGACTGCTGGCCTCAACTTGCCTGCGAGTTGTCTTTTGTCTCCAGCCCGGACCTGTTGCGTTTTCATTGGAAAGTCTCTGTGCTCGCTGGGAGAAAAGGAGGAGCTTTTTGGGGCGCCATCAACTGAGAACCACAGTGAGTCCTGTGGGGGTGGACTGATTTTCCTTCTGCCCTTCTTCCACTGGGGGAAGGGCCCCCCGTTGTTTCTTTTCGGCTTCTCCCATGATCTGAGACCATCCCCCAGACCACCCACCCCGTGCGGTGACCGCCAGAGCCCAACAGCACCCCCTGCAAACCACGACAGAGTACTGCAGGCTCTGCACTTCCAGTGATCCAACAGTGCCCCTGCCAACCGTGATTAGAACTGTGCTAAAGGACAGAGAAGTATTCTGACCTTTTGTCTTTTGTTTGAAGGGGATTTTTGGGTACAGGACTACTGTCTAGTTTTTTTTGTGTTCTGTTACTGTTCTTGTCAACATACATTTATCTTTTAATAAAGGGTTGTTATTTCTTCTGGTTTTTTTCCACTCTTCCTCGATTAAAACCCCTTAATTTTGAATTTACAATTGCTGAGAGAGAGAAGTTTGGTCTATCTCATAACTCATCCTCTTTAGCAAACATTCCAGTCTCTTTAGACTGAGACAGTTACACATTGTGTATGTATGTCTGAAAACCCCTGCCTTTGGATGATGGTGGGATATGCTTTTTTTTACTATAAGATTTTTCAATAGGAACAACAAAGGCTCATCAAGTAGTTGCATGGAAGTACACTGATGTAAATGTAAAAAGAAGTGACATGCAACAGTTGCAGTAACTAAACTTCAGAAAAATTCACAGATTATTTAAATGCCTATGACTGTCAGGAGAATTATATTTCTGTCATATACTACGGTGAAAGACAATTATAATTACCTGAACGATTGTGTATATGTTTGTTGTGTATATAATATGGAGAATATCACTACTATCTTCTACATTTACAGACTATTTATCTATACCTATAGCTGTATTGCTTCATTTTTGGTACTAACTTAGAAGAAAGCCAACTACTGAATCCAAAATACTGCTCTATGAAGTTGCTGAGTTTTCCTAGGGTTCTCTGATCCAAGGTGGAGTCCTCTACTGCTTAATCTATCATATATGCCAACATAAGCATTCAAAATGACACACAGTTTCATAGGCAGTAATTCATTCGTGACTTAGTGAAAAAGTTATTTAACTAACCTTTGTCATTTTTAGGGATTTTGATGGTGAATGGGAATACTGAATTCTATTCCTTGCCGAAAAGGGTAACATCACATACAATATTAATAAGACAAAGTATCTGAACAGATATATATGACAGGCTTTACTGTTACAAGAGTTATAAAGTGTTATACTTGCTTTTTGCAAAAATTACATGCTTGGTCTGAAGACTTAAATATATATAAGCCGATTCCCTGTTTTACTTTCATGATTGAATTATTATGGTAACTACTAACACCTGGTGGCAATGGTATAATTCTGTGTCACTTTCATTTGAGAAAATGTTTCAACTCTTCAGAAAGAAAGAAAAGGTCAAACCAAATCCTTTTATTGTCTTTAAGTAAATTGAATCAATCACCTCTCAAGCACATTGTTCTTTTTACCTAAGGCTCTGACAAAGATCCCAACAGTGCTGTAATGAAATGACTTATGGAATGATCTTGTCAACATCCCATTGAGACAGTGAAAATTCCTTATTCATTGATACACAGTGGAAGCTGGAAACAGACTTAATTTGGTGCTGTGAAGAGAAGCAACTCACAATACCCAGTTTAGATATCCAATTCAAATATCAAAACTATGATGGTAGAATCCTTACCCAGTGAAAGGGCAATCCTTGTATAGGGCTTCATCACTGAAAGTGTGCTCAGCTGACTCTTGCTCAAAGGGGTGTCCACCAAGACAGCCCTTCCTGTAGAGCTCTTCCCTTGCTCCATAAGACTGACACCAGGACATCCTTCCCCAGGATCTCAGTTTGGTTCAAAGCATCTGATGTGCTAATGGTGGTCACGCTGCCTGATACATGTGACTGAGACCTTTGGGGCACTGCTCTCCCCACTGTGCTGACTTGGGCAGGAAGGTAGTTTTACCTGAGAGCAGTTTAGTGCATTAAATGACACAGGAAACAAAAGAGCCAAGGCTTGTCAAAGAAGAAGATGTCAGCCATGAAGTCTGTGCTAGTAATACACTGATTTTACTCTCAATTTTAATCAACTTTACTATGATTATTTCTTGCCTTCAGTTTCAATAATTTCCCTCTGATGATACCATAATACATTGATATTGTTCCAGGTATCATACTGTGTTCTGAAAAGCATAGTGTATAGAACCCTACAAGTAAAAACAAATATTAAAAATAAAAATAAAAGTTTACCAAAATGAATGCTGAGGCTTTTGTTTTAAGTGAAACAATCAATTCAAGCACTGAGACAGCACTAGAATTCAGGAGAAAATAAATCTGAGAGGCTTAAATGCCATGCCTCTCTCTCTACCATTTCCTCGAAACATAGAAAAGAAAAAAAATAGAGGCAGAGCAAAGCACCTATTCCTATTAGGTGATGAGGAGCTTTCCATTTAATACCAAATAGTAAGTTTGAGAGGTCTCAAGATGCTATAAAGTTGCTGTAGTTTTGGTTTAGGGTTTTTGGGGAGGGTTGTTTTGTTTGTTTGTTTGTTTATTTTGTTTATTTGTGTGTGTGTGTTTGGTTTTTTTTCTGAGGTTACAAGATCATTTTAAAACACAGTCAGAGGAATTTGCCATCTCTTCTACTACAGCAGTTGTGGTACTGACTATTGCAACTAGAACCAGAAATGAATATTTTCATTTCCTAAATTCTAGAAATTTGTGTCAAATTACCCTCACATTTCTTGATTTCAAATTTGTCTCCCAATCTTTAACTTTGTTTCCTTTAAGCATTTCTGCCAAGGAGCATGAGGCACTGTTTTCCATACTCAATCTCTTTCTATCTCATTTTCATGATGAAATGATGAATGGACCTGCATTCCTGGTCTCCTCTGGGGTTTGTTTATGGCAATAATTTCTTTTAATAAAATAAACACTCTCTTTGTGAGAATGGCAGAGAGAGTAAGAGATGAGCATTGGAAGACTTCAAGTTATTTTTTTGACATTGACACTTTTAAACAAATATTGTTAATTAATATTAATAAAGTATATTTTGCCATACAGTTGAAATGAGAAAAGCTGAATTTTTACTTTACTGGAGGCTAAGAATTTCAACAAAACATATTTTTAGATTTCTTAGTGTCTGTGGCATGTGAAACCATCCCTCCATTAGACTTACATAACTATTTTATTGTGTTGCCCTTATAAAAACCTAGATGCATGTCTGACAGCAGTTGTTTTACCTGAAGATTACTACCATGCTGATACAGACAGACAGATTTGATCTTCCCAGGTCCTAAATCAGTATTCCTTCCTGTTTGTATGATTTCTTTGATTTCTGAGTTGAGTTTTTATTGCTTTTGTTTCAACATTTTCTTGTGGTTTGTTTATAGGACTATCTGACCGTCTTGCTAGAATTATTTATATTTAAACTGAAGTTTTATGGATTATGGGTGGATTTGGTTGGAAATTCTTCATAAAGAATTATCTGAATTACTTAATCTCTCTGAAATGTCACGTTAAAAATAATATTATTTTATATTGTAAATGTCATATAGTCTTGTACCTTAAAAAATGTTCAAACGTGCTCATATATCTGGACTATTAACAGAAACTACGTAGCTAAAAAGATAACAAAGCATTAAACATAAACTTGGATTGCATTTTATGTTTGTGGTATTTTGGGGGAGCATTTTGCTTCCAGCATTGTAACTTTGGTTTATTTTTACTACACTTAGAGCAATCAAATAAGATAACTGAAGTAACATAGACATTATACTTTTAACTGATGTGTCAAAAAACGGTAAGCAAGTACTCATTAAGGTTTTGTAATTCAAACAGATTATGTTTAACAC